TCCTCGTTCCCGCCCTGCCTGGGAGCTGCTCGGGGCACTCGAGGGAACGCTTTTTCTAACGTTTGTGGAAAAACGGAAACGTGAGGAAATGTTGCAGCTTTGTAATGATTGCCTCTCTTGCTTTTTACTCCTGTCTAATTTCCTGTATTTGCCTTTCTCTCCATGCATGCTGTTTCTTTCTCTGTACTGAAACTGTAAATTCTTAGGGCAGAATACTGTATTTTGGTACCTGATTATGACCAGTTATTATTTAAGTGATGCTGTATTGTAAGCACTTTTGTGCAACTACAAATTAATATGCGTAATTATTCTAGACATTAGAACACAGTTATTTTAATTTGGTTTATAAGCATACGTAGTTGTTACCACATTCTAGCTAGCTGCCCTTATCGTACTTGCTAAAAATAACTGATCAATTTAAGTTCTATGTAATGGGGGAAAGGGGGGAAAGGATTTCTGCTCCATAGTGCTTGGAATCCAAATAGAACAAGATGCAGATAAACAGATCAAAGGTACAGGGAGATGGGAATTGCCTAGTTTTAACACCTCACTTCATCAGCTACAGACTTACTGAAAAATATTCAGATTAGTGCAGTAATATAATCAGAGGCCCAGCAAATGTAGTTAGTGAGGAAAGGGTAAACAATTAGATTTATTTTGGCTATGGAGAAGGCAAAGGTTATTATTCCATTAGGTAAACTGAGTTGGTTAACATCTTCCCTCTGAAAAATAATAGAGGGTCCTGCACCATCTTCTCCTTCATCCCCGCCACACTTGCTTAAAATAGGTAATACCATATTGTGTTTAAAGAAAAACAGAGAATATGGTAGTCAAAAAGTGGCCGTTTTCCTTTAAGCAGTCTTTCTGACTTTTTCTGCCTTGCAGAAGCAGTAGACTTGTACTTCCCCCTCACCCCAAACATACCTCATTTATAACCGTACATCTGTCAGTAAACCTCTGCCAAGAACAGTTTGTGTGATCAGGTCTTCAAATTTGAAATTTTTCTTTTGTGGCAATAGGTCTGCATGCATAATAGAGTAGTACTTTGGAGCATGAGCAGGGTTATTCTTTAGATCAGTGTTGCTTCAGCATATAACTAAGTGCCCACAGAATCACAGTATTTTTTTTCCTTTTAATATTTAGCTATGGGTGATGAGTCAGTGCCATTTTTGCTGGACCAAGGAACCACTAAAACATATCAAATACCTATTGGTCATCTGGACTACAAGTTCATTGAAAAATGCACAGATGTTAAACACCTGGAAAAGATTCTCAGGGTTTTAAGGTAAATGCTGTATTTTCTTAACTTAATTACTAATTATATCCCTGTTCTGTAAAATTTGAAGGAACCATAGCTAAATACTGTATTTGTCTTGAACCTCTTTGTGACATTCTAATTCAAAAATTAAAGTACAAAGTTAAAGTAATCCCGTTAAAAATGTCCACATGATAACACTAGAAATCCAAGTCCTGTTTTAAGCATCCAAAAGGTCTGAGTAACTCAATTCCAGGTTGCTCTCAAATGCTACCACTGGATTGTGGTTCTGTCACAAACCATCTCTGTTTACTGTGGTAATTTCAGATGCTATACCCGTTTAACTGCTGCTGTAAATGACACGAGCATTTTTTTATGAGCACCGTGATGATAATTTTAAACTGTGTGTGTCCATTGCAAAGTGATTGGAGGTTAACTCACTGTGATTTTCTGATCAAAATGTTATTAGGTGCTAGTAGAATTCAGTTGTAACAGGAAGATAGGCCTCTTCAGTCACTGTGGTGACTACGCAGGGACTACATGTAGGGAGAAATACGGAGGATGCAGTGCAGTTGAATTCTTTCTTGTAACTTTTATATCTTTGCATTTTAAAGGTCTGGTGAAGAGGGATGTTATCCTGAACTTACATTGTTTTGTGAAAAGCGTATTGAGCATTTAGATCCAAGGAGCAGAGCTCTGAGGAAAGATAAGCCTGCAGCCACAGCTTCTGATTTCACAGCTGAAGAATGGGAAACAATTAATGGTGAACTGATGGTACAGTATAGTTTATAATAGCCAGTAATATAATCACTTTGATGTATCAATCTTCTTCTTCTTGTGCCTAAGTAGAATGTAATTATGTTATTAAATGAGGAAATGATTAAAGCATTATGTTGGTGGTGTTTATTACTTTCTTGAATTCGTGTCACTGGAACTTTAATACCCACTTTACAGATTTTTTTTTTTTTTTAGATTACTTTTTATTCAAAAAACACAAATTGCTTTTTTTTCTGAATTGGTTTTCCCCATTAAGAGCAATGCATTGTAAGGATCACTGTTAGGGTCGTTTTAGACTATGAAGTATATCTGCTCTATTGCTTTAAGGTACAGATGTATTATTTATTTTCAGAGCTGGGTGACAGAAATGAATGAAGATTATCAGAAACCACAGTTCTTGAGAACAGACACGCTGCATGAAAGACAAGATAACTTGCCTCCTGTTCGTTGTTCCAGCAACTGTCTTCCTGCTAATCAGGTATCTCCAGTTTTCTAATGTATGCTAATTATATATCTTCCTAAAACTGAGACATTTTAGGTATACAAACTTCTAGTCATTGAGCCTTTCTTACTAGATTTATTTTGTTAAACAGAAAATCAAAGCCTTTAATTTTCCTTGCAAGAGACCGCTGCTTAAACAAAAGTGCCTCCATAGTACTAGCATGTGCCCTGTAATAATGTTTTAATTCTGATCAAGAATTCACTTCTGGAGCAAATCTCCTTAAATACCCTTTCCTGCTCTTTTTTTCACATTTCAAAGTGTTGTTTAAGCATACAAACTAGGTTCCTTTTGGATGATACTATGCCAGGAGATTTTTTTCCACCTGCTAGTAGGCTCTTGTTCCATGCGACCAGACAGGAGCTAGTCCAAAATGCATACCCTGAAACACATACAGTGTGGGTGTCAGACCCTCTGCACCAATTCTTTGCCGCTTTTATACTGGGTTGCGCCGTGTCTGTGTAGCTTTTGATTCCCCATATTTTGTACATGGAGTTTGGTATTCCAGCATTAGCCGTAAAACTTACTTAAGAAATTTCAGAACTGCAGAACAAACATTTACATTTTTTCCTATTATTAATTTCCTCTTTTTTGTTTGTTTGTTTTTTTTTTTCCATTTATTTATCAGCTTAAAATCTGCTTGTCAGTGACCAGCTTTTCTTACAAATACTAAATGCTGTGCTGTTGGAGGGATTGGCAGAAAAATACGGGGGGGTGTGTGGAATTTTTTTTTAATTCTCAGATGTTATAATGAATGGCTTCAGTCTGATTCCCAGTGTTTTCTTTGTAATTCTGTGACCTGTATAACAAATTCACGGAAGGATTTTTCTTTTTGGAAGTTTGGAAATGAGAAATACTGTGAAAGGATCCTTACAGGCCATGTGATATTTTTAATGAATTAATTAGACACATTTTCTTGGAATAATTATGTATTAGTAAGTGCCTGATTTGTGTTCCTGTGTTGTCAGAAACTACTCCTTACTGTCAGCTGGTACTCAGACATCAGACCAAGACATTTGGGATAACTAGGCACTTTCTGTTATGTGCTATTCAAAGAAGCTGGGACTCCCAGTGTAATGCTTCATAAGTCATTAGTATTGCGACTAAGGTGTGCTTTTTTATTTTTAATTAATCTGTTCTCTTTCACATTTTGCAATGTATGATCCTCTTGACTCTCCTATTTTGCTGGGATGAAGAGTGCCACTGTAGCTTTACTCTTGGCTTATGTCCTTTGTGTTTACTAGGATAGAGAATGGTAAATAAAATATCATGTGAACTCAGTGAATCCAGATTAGAATAAAATGGTGGAAAGTGACTTGAAATCTAGGCTATACAGTTTTACTAAAGAAGATGTGTTTTCCATTCAAAGCCAAAATATTTATTCAGATTTTTTGTCACCTACTTGAAACCATGCAACATTCTTCAGGTCAAGCTTTTACCACTTTTGTTCTCCATAGGTGGTTTAGGTGATAGCATTATTACCCAGGAAACCTAGATACAGCTTTATGCCTTGTCTGTGGTATATGATTTCTATCCCTTTTGTCCAAGCAGACAGCCTCTGAAGTGATTGTAACCTGTCCTGGAAGAGGGAAGGGAGGCCCCAAATTGAGTCTTAGAAGTCAGTCTTTCTATGTAGCAGTGCAGTTATACCACTACTGGATCACTACTGAATAAAAAAAAAGCTGTTTCTATAATGTACACTAAATTTATGCCTGTAATATGAAATCTCAACTAAATTAGATTAATACACTTAATCAGGTTTTATTTCTTTTCTTTCTTGCTGAAAAACTTAATTTTTAAACATTTGCTAATCAGGTAGGACTGTAACTATTTTTTACGCTGGCATCACATAACTTTGTAATGCATAAGGTTGGCATGATAGATTTCTCCTCTCTGCTGGAAAGAAATCCACAAACCCATAATTTTGTTATTTGATTGGAGACTGTGTAAATTCATCTGATTTGATGCTTAAAATGTTCAGTATCTTCAATGAAGCTAGTTCTGGAAATCCTTATTGACCCTAAAACAGTGGATTGCACCAATGGGTACAGTTTTGGTAAATGGAAGCATCTTCTTGTCTCTGTAACCAGATTTTCCTGCTGATACTAAATGCAGGTACCGTTTTAATTCACTGCTCATAGCGTGTAACTCTGTATGGTGTTTTCTTTTTATTGATGTGAAGTTATGGGGAAGGTTTTCCAAAAATGATTACACAGTGAACTTTATTCAGTATTTCCCTCTTTAATACAATATGGAAGTGTTTGTCTTACACCCATCTTTCTTTCATACAGCCCAGGACTTTGAGGTTACATCTATACTGTAAAATAAGAGTGGAGAGACGGCTTGAGTTTTTATGTTCCTAACTGTCCACATTGCTTAATTATTATTTTTGCTGCCTCAGATTCCAAGACAGAACTAAAGCATGGGTTTAGAGATACTCACTTCCAAAAGGCTATATGGATGGGATATCAGCAGGCTTAAGTTCCTTTGCCAAGGACAGTTTCCTAATACTACTGCAGAAAGATTTCTGTCCTCAGATACCTTCTCATGCTACAGTCCAGGGCATGCAACACACATTCCAAGTGTTATGTTTTAAAAACGCACTGTGATGGTACCTACGTATCCTTCGTATCATTTTGGACACTCCGAACTCGAGCAGAATACTGTTAGCTGACACAGAATAGTAATGTCTTAGGCCTCCCGAGGGGCCCAGAGAAGAACTAAGGTCAGATTCTGTGTCACCTGAACTGAAGTCCATCTGTGCTTTGATTTTTGGTCCAGAAATGGTTCACCAGACTTCAGACCCTGTGGGATCCATGCATTGTGAGCTCTGGCAAGAAAAATGACAAGGACAGAGGGTGGTTTTTTATTTAGTTCCACTGAATGCAAACATGCACTTTTCATCAAAGCCTCTTGGATGAGGTGCTCTGAGATATTACCAATTAGGAAGTTCCTGACTCTGCTGGAGCCACAAGTTGGTTACAATGGTACCAGGAATATGAGATCTAGAATTTTAAAAATTGTGCATTTTTGAGTCAACACTTCTTCCTTATTCCTTAAAAGGACATGTTGTAGTTCTGTCCCTCAGTTAAAGTTGCATTACTGTAAATACCTTATGAGTTTTCTTCTGAGACTCTCTTTGGTTTTGTGCTCGTTTAAGTTAAGGACTTCTGGTTTGAAAAAAAAAATTGGTATTTATTAAAATAGTAAGTTTGTAATACACACCAGGATGCATACATAATGATAAGTCATATTTCAGGAAGTCGTATTTAGGAGTTGCCTCCTCCAAACATGCACTGGGCACTATATGTATTTGTCATTTTTTCTATCTTCTTGAAAGACTGAGAGCGTGAAGAGTAATTCTGAAGTTATATACTATAAGAGTTTGTGTAACCTAACATTATAGTCAAAGTGTTTACAGGAAGGGTCACATTTGCATTATGTAAATTGGGGTGTTTACATACAATTGCAGAAGTATTTCCTGCAGAAGATACAGTGTCAACACTGGTAAAGCTAGTTTAAGAGGTTGCTGCTTGTTTCTTTGGTCCAGTTTATCACATGCTCCGTTGAGCTGGTACAAATATTTAGGGATTTTACTGTAATCTCTATCAAATTGTTTGTTTGAACCCAGATAATTGTAAATCTGCAACTCTACAAACAATGCTATTGGTCTAACACAGTGAGTGATGGGTTGCAAGGTAAGAGGAGGGCTGAACAGCCAGAAGAGAGTAGATGGGGAATGCTCCGCTGTGGAATACCTGCTTGAAACCACACCTTGCTAATAAGTACTGTTGAAGTCAACAAGCAGGGAGGGACATAATAGAAATATAGTCTCAGGACAGAAGTAGAAATGATGCCAGAGGTGCCAGCTACGGATATAGGTTTCATTAGCGTAGGAGGTAGGTTGTGATACAAGTCAGTCAAATCTGTTAATGCAACTGATTGTTGCAGGAAGGTCCTAAGCATGAAAGCCTTTAGTTAAGGCAAATCTCGTTGGTGGAGCTTGTCCAATGAGTGTAAATCATCTTGGGATTTATCTTGACTGGAATGTGAGTTAGTCAAAAGTACAGACACTATTTTGAAGTCAATCAAGTTTTTAATTTCTAAGTTTGTTGTGAGGGTTCCAGGGACTATCAGAATCTTTGCCGTCTTACCATTGCCTCATTCATATCATTGCATTCTCTTGGGAGTGGCAAGCCTAAAACGAGGTTACTGATTCAATCTCATTGTCAAACTCTTCATCACAAGGCTGGTGTTTCTGAAGACCGAGTTCTCCCTTGCTGTGATGAAAGGATCGTTTGGAAGATGGCAGCACAAGATACTAATTAGGAAGAGCAGTCTCCTATCTGAAAGTTTTATTCAGTGCCTCTCTAACATGTGACAGGGCAGTGGAGAGAAAGTGTGAGACTGAAGAGCTCCTCAGATTACGATACGTCATATACATAAACATTTTCTTTAAAGCTTAATTAAGTTTACTTAATTTACTAATACTTAAAGATTAATTGTTTTCTAGTCTATGCTGAGATTAGTCATGAATAGTGTCAGTTACTAGGAATATGTATTGCAGAAACAAAACAAAACACTGGTGAATTTCCACTTTAACAATTGTGGTAAAGGCTGGCTGTTTCTCTTTCAGAACAAAAAATTACAAAACAAAGGAGGAAACAAGAAAAACATCCCACGGGATTACAGTGAATGGGACAAGTATGTTAAATCCTTCGTATTTAAGACTTTATTATACCTTACGTAATTGTTTAATAATGGAACATTATTAAGTGTTTTTTTTAAAGTGTTTTGCAGAAACGTAGTGTTAAGATCAACATTTCAGGGAGTTTTGACACTTTAGTGGAACAGGTTTTCTGTCATAAATGTTCTGTTAAAACACAAACGGTGCATTGAAAACAATTTAGCCTATACTTCTGTTCAATCTGTGTGAAATGTAACAAGTCGGTAGAAAATACAAATAAAAAGTGATTTTGTTTCAGGCTTCATTCTTCCGTTCAGCATCTAAGTTATAAAATCTATGGAAGGATTAGAATTAGCTTAATTTATTTTTTTTTTTTTTTTGAAAGTGCTTCTAAGGTTGTTCAACGTGGCCTTTTAAATTTGATCTTCTGCATATCCAAAGTCACAATTCTAAATTAAAACCAAAATTGCTGAGTCCTTATTCCTGCACACAGCCCCGCTGACAGCAAAGAATGAGCTCGAGGCAGGTGCATCAGTTTGCTCAGGTGCAATTACATGTAAGTTTAGACAGTGACTGACTAGTTCTAGGCAGGATGGAGCACCTATTCTCTGCCTCATGTAATGGTGGCATACTACCCTCCCACCGTACGTGATGGATTGATGCCCCCAGATTGTTGAACACGGAGAGGGAAATGTACATGCTTCTGTGCTTTGCATTGTAGCAGCTTCTCTCTGGCTCCTTAAACGTGGACTAGGATGTTACAGCATCAGTGAGGAGGCACAAGTTTCCATGCTGTAGATGGGGAGCTAAATCTAGAGACTCTGGGGTTTGGGTAAGGGAACTCTTAATGTCTCACTCTACCCCATAACCAAAAAACCCCTGTCTGCATAAGATGCTGTTCTTACAAACAGTCGTGCATATTATTTTCATGCATGTATGATTCAGAAATGGAGTCTCCCTGCTCAAATGTGGACGAACAAAATAGGTTAGCAATGTAACTTCTGCAACAATTTTGTCTTTTAATCCCTCTTTCCTCTGTGTGATTTAAAGTAATCATCTGGGGGTTTGGTTTGCAATTATGTGCTCAATCTTTGAAGGCTTTAGCGTGCTGATAATACTGCAGTTTGTGAATTCTACCGTGTAATGTATTTGTTTTGGATAATATGAGCATACTGAGAAAGAAATCTTCCAGTTGCAAGCATATCGTGTTTTCAAAACATCTTGAAGATAATTTAAATAATTGTTTAGGCAATTTCTGCACAATAAAGTTTCACTTTATATTTTAAAGGCACCTATTTTAAAATGTAGCTGATTATAATAAATAGGTAACAGTAAGCTAGCGAAAGATCAGAATCTAAATGGAAATTAGTCTTACCAGAATAGGTTTTAATTTGGATAAGTTCTCAAAATCATGCCTGTTTCAGATGGAAATTATCCATATTGTCAAGATTATTGTGGAACGCAAAGGATATTTTCCATTAGGTCCTAAACAAAAAAGCAGTGAGTTTAGTGTTTCTAGATGGTGTAGGAATTGCTTATTGCCGTGTCTGTTCTATAGGACAATGACAGCAACATTTATTTGACATAAATTTCTACACACTGTTTTGAAAAGCTGCTTCAGAGTAGCTGTGGAAGGGTGTAGGACTGCTTTATCTCTCACCTTTGCAGTATTAATTGCTTTGAAGCTGTTTCTTAGCTATTTTGGCAAAGGTTAATAGAGGTGACTGATAGGGCTGGGATTGAGCCCAATGATACGCTTTCTTAAATTTTACCTGTCTTCTAAGGAGGGATGGTGAGGAGGTGAGACAGACAGTTACTTGGTTTGGCTTTAACCAGAAGGGAGGAGGAAGAGGGGATGTGATGTATAAGCAGGAGAAGTGCACAAAAAACTCCCAAACAATCCAACACAAGAAAAGGACGTAAGACACTACAAATCTTTTTCCTAACTAGTCATGGGTAACTGAACACAACCTTTTATCTCTCTTTTCCTTTGGTCTATAATGGAAATAATAGTATGCCGTTCTATTAGTAGAGGAGTCTTGCTATGCAGCATTACTGAATTTGTTATTTTTATTAATCTAAGGTTCGACGTGGAAAAGGAGTGTTCTAAAATCGATGAAGGCTGTGATGAACATAACTCAAAAGCAAGCTTCTTTAGTAGACCAAGGCCACCTATAATCGAAAAGAAAATAGACACAGTCGGTAATGTCTTAGAAACATACAGTTTTTCTTTTTAATTGTAACGCTGTGTTGTAGAGTGTGAATACAAATTGAGGAAGCATATTATAGAGGTAAAAATGTCTTTGTCTGTTTTTCAGCCCCAAGAGATGCTTCAAGTTTTTAGAAGGTTAACTAAAGCCATATTTGGAAAAAAAAATCTAGTCTTAGGGTTAATAATCAGTTAAAATATCTATCTTGTGTTTAGGTTGAGAGTGCTGAGTAAAGAAATAAAGCATACTTCTGCTATTGTAAATCAGTGGTAGAGGTTAGCCAACCACTTTCATCTTGCATTCTGAATAGTATGCATATCAGAGGGATATAGGTTCATATTATAGGAAACAAAATACGAATTTGTCTCTTACTAAGCCATGTTGTTTTAAAAAATAATATGCAGACCTATTTTAGCTGACAGTGTTTTGATTGCATCTGTGAAAGTTGTTAGTCGTTAAGCTGAAGTATTTTTTCTAGGCATGACAGAGAAAGAGAAAATTTTTATTGCAACTCATGAAAAAGAAAAGGGCAATGAAGCCTTTGCCATTGGGGATTATGTGGAAGCAGTGACATATTACAGTCGGTGAGTAAATAGTCTTTTAATGATTGTTACTTGTGAATATTATTTTTAGAGCAAGGTGATTATAGCAATGTTTTTCTGAAGCAACTAGTGGCAATTAAATTATTTTCAAATGGGTAAAAAGATATGACAAAGAGTACTTAAAGGGCTGTTGCATCCGGACATTAATTTTTATTTATTAGGAAGAGAAGTGGGTAGATAGTGATGGGATGCAATCTGCATGTGTCACAGAGTTCTTCAGATTTTTCTAAACCATTGAGAATCAAGAGCAAGTTTACAAAAATAAAAGTATAAATGTGTCGAGAAACTAAATTTGTTACAAATCGTAGAATCAGAGGATGGTTTGGGTTGGAAGGGACCTTAAAGACCATCTAGTTCCACCCCCCCTGCCATGGGCAGGGACACCTTCCACTAGACCAGGTTGCTCAAAGCCTCATCCAGCCTGGCCTTGAACACTTCCAGGGATGGGGCATCCACAGCTTCTCTGGGAAACCTGTTCCAGGGCCTCACCACCCTCTCCGGGAAGAACTTCTTCCTGATATCTAATCTAAACCTCCCCACTTTCAATTTAAACCCGTTACCCCTTGTCCTGTCACTGCAGGCCCTTGTAAAAAGTCCCCCCCAGCTTCCTTGTAACCCCTTCAGGTACTGGAAGGTTGCTGTCAGGTCTCCCCGGAGCCTTCTCTTCTCCAGGCTGAATAAGCCGAATTCTCTCAGCCTTTAATGAATTTTAATTAATCATATTGCTAGGATTGTCTCAATTAGTAATAAGTAAAATTGATTTAATAACTTCTTTTTTGGAGGAAGAAAAATCATTGTGTGCAGCTTCATCGTAACACTGTCTGCAGTTGGTAGCAGACCAGAAGAAAAATATACAAACAGTGAATTTAAAAAATATGAGACTCTCAGGTTGCTTGCCTTATTTAGTGCAGTGTGGACTACATTCAGGCTTTGGCATTATTTATGTAAATAGAGGTTGTTGCTACAGGGCTTCTGTTGTATTTGTTTCAATAGTAGAAAAGTTCAGGGTGAACGGAATCGAGCATGACAGGAAGAGAAGGGTTATGTTTCAGTTAAGGTATTTGAATGCTGTCTTAGGAGAACTAGAATTTTTTTTCTCTACCTTTTTCATGGTGCTCAAACATGATGCCATTTATACAAAACAGGATATTCACACGGGACTGATAACATCTTTCTTGGGTTTTTTGGATACATGAACATAAACATCTATAGCTGTATTCATATTAAAACAAAAAAACCAAACCCAAACAAATCCATAATATAAAAATAAGTAAAAGTCTTTGCTTTTGGGGCATAAATAAGGTATTAATTAATAAGGTTGGGCAGAATCCTTCCTAATGGAGAGCCTTTCCATATTCAACCCCCACATGGCATTGTACAGCTTCTGAAATACATGATATTGACACTGCATATTGTTCTAATTGGGCACTTTTCTATTACCACCTGAAAATTCTTATTTTCTTACATTTAGAAATATTTAAATAAAACATGTTTTGGAGTGAATTGATTATAGCCTGAAGGTTTTTTTTTTTTGGTATATGGTTAAAAAGGGAAAAGAAGACTAGAGTTCTCTACAAAAATAATCAGGGTATAGTTATTCATTCTATGGGGAGAATTCTGTCTAGGGGAAGATCCACTTCTGTCGACCTCCTGGCTACACTCTTGTTAATATGGCCCAGCATGGGGTACCCCTTCTTTGCCTTAAGAGCACACTGTTAACTCCTCTAAAATTTTTTGTCCACCAGAGCTCTTGGGTTCTTTCATGCAAAGCTGCTTTCTAGCTAGTTGGCACCCAGCCTATAGCTGAGTTACTCTGTTTGGGTGCAAGACTTGGCGCTTGCCTTTTTTGAACTTCCTGAGAAGTCTGCCAGCCCATTCCTCTGGCCTGTTCAGGCCCCTTTGACTGGAGTTCTGCTGTCCAGTGTATTACTGACTGTGTACCCCCAGCTTTGTATCCCTGACAAACTTCCTGGGGGTTTATGTGTTCTGTCTTATACCCCCTCATAAAGATGTTAAAAACTTGATCCCAAAGGGAGGCCACTAGTAACTGTTCACCAGTTGGACTTTCTATGCTTCAATTCTTGGAGCCCAGCAGTCCAGTCGGTTTTCTCTCTGCCTTACTGTCCACTTATCTAGTCTCTATTTTACCTACTTGGACTGACCAGCCTGTAGTTTCCCAGGTCCTCCACCTTGCTGTTCTTGAAGATACACATTACAGGTCACCAGGAATCTCTCCCAGTGACCATGCCTTTTCAAAGATGATGTAGCACAGTCTTGTAACATTGGCCACCATCCTGACCCACCCCATCTGGAACCTTTGTATATCGTATTTTTATAAGTGTTTCTTACCTTCCTCCATTGTGGGCACTGCTTCACTCCTGCAGAATCTGCCTCTAGACTCAGGGGCCTGGGAAGCCTGAGGGCAAACCTTACCAGTGAAGACTGAAGCAAAGAAGCTGCGGAGTATCTCAAACTTTTTCCATGTCCTTTGTCACTATGTCCTCTGCTGCATTGACAAGTGGCCCACAGTTTCCTTAATCTTTGTTTTGCTGCTGATAGACTTTAAAAAAAAAAAAAACAAACCACAAAAAACCACCCCACAAAACTTTTCTTGTTCCTCACATCGCTTTTCTAGTTTCAACTTCAGCTGAGCTTTTGCTTTATTAATTCCATCACACTTAGCCAGTGGCTCTATATTCCTCCTGGATAGCCCATCACCACTGCCATCTGCTGTGTATTTGTGTTTCAGCTCAGGCAAGGGGTCTTTGTTCAGCCCCTATTCTAAGCTTGCTTGACTTCCTGCACGTTGAAAGTTGGAAAAGATCGTTCGTATGCTGGGCTGTATCAGGAGAAGTGTGGCCAGCAGGTTGAGGGAGGGGATTCTCCCCCTCTACTCTGCTCTTGTGAGACCCCACCTGGAGTGCTGCATCCAGCTGTGGAGCCCTCAATATCAGAAGGGTATCGACCGGTTGGAGCGAGTCCAGAGGAGGCCACGAAGATGCTCAGAGGGCTGGAGCACCTCTGCTATGGGGACAGGCTGAGAGAGTTGGGCTTGTTCAGCCTGGAGAAGAGAAGGCTCCGGGGACACCTTATAGCACCTTCCAGTACCTGAAGGGGCTACAAGGAAGCTGGGGGGGACTTTTTACAAGGGCCTGTAGTGACAGGACAAGGCTAAAATTTTGCCTTCTGAAGTCCCGGGCTTTAATTCTAGTGTTCATCTTGCTCTCTTCTCCCAGAATCTTAAACACTACCATCTCATGGTTGCCGCAGCCAATGCTGTCATCAACTTTTGCATTCCTAACTAGTTCTTGATTGTGAGTAACAATTCCAGCAGATTATTCCCCCTCATCATCAGCTTCTTGATTGTGTCAAGACATTTCCTTCGATATGATACAGCACTCCAGCCACACCAACGATCCCACCGTGTCTCACTGAGATCATAGCTGCACAGACCTTTTCTTCTTCTTTTTTTGTTTCCTGTGTTTTGTGCATTTGTGCACAAGCACTTGCGATGGTCCTTCAGTTTGCTTTTTTTTACAACGAAAGTGTGAGTCTCTTCCAGTACGCTGTCCCCCCAGCACTTCCCTATTGCCTCCTCCTCCCAGTAAACCTAGTTTAGACTCCTCCTTGCTAGGTTAGCAAGGGTGTTGGCAAAGATTGACTTGCACCATTTTGTCATATGGATCCCAGTTGTCCTTGTTCCTTAGAGATCATTCTGCTAGAGAAGGTAAAGCCCTACCTACAATACCAGCCACACAGCCCGATGTTGATCTGGATTATTTATTCACTGCTACCTGAGTTCTTGCCTTTTACAAGCAAGATCAAGGAGAAGCCCACGTGCTCTTCCCCCGGCTCTTCATCATAGACTCCAGAGTTCTGTAGTTACTCTTGAACTCTGAAGGTTTCATTTGGCAGTTTCATTCGAGTAGATGGCAGCAATAGTTTAAGGGACAGATAAGACATGGCATCTTCTCTGCAACATCTCAGATCTAAGCCCTGGCAAGCAACAGACCTCTGAAGATGGTAGATCTAGTTTGTGGATGGTTGCCTCTGGTCTCACAGGAAGAAGTTTCTAACCGCTGTTGTGGTTAGGACATCAGTATTAATATTGTTATAATACTGCTTTCAGCTTCCAGTAGTGAAGTGTCCCTGCATTCAGATTTTCTAACTGTGAGCCTACCATGGCCCATCCTCCCTTTTTTTCAGGAGTATATCAGTAATACCCACTGCAGCTGCATATAATAACAAAGCTCAAGCAGAAATTAAACTGCAGGACTGGGATAGTGCTTTGCAGGATTGTGAGAAGGTGCTAGAAATGGAACCTGGCAATGTAAAAGGTAAAGTAGTGCATAAACTTGCCCTTTCATATATTTTATTTCTAGAAAATAAAGTAGTATGTATTCAGTCATGTTTTTAGTTGACTTCCTTGATCATGTCCAAGTATCAAAGAGGAAACAGAGCAGCTCCACAAAGTAGTTGTAACAGTATTTTCAGGGTCAGTGAAGTTTGATACAGTCCATACTGTTGGTTTGTAATGTGTGTTCTTATGTAGTAATGTGGGGCTGACTCTTGGGTTTTCTATGACGACTGTAAGCCCTCTTGTATTTGTCTAGTGCATTGTTTGCATAATACCCACACTGAAGTATTAATTACCTTAAAAGCAACATGAAAACAAAGGAAATTGCTGATTTAGTCCTTTCTGAAGGCAAGGGCTTGAATGTAGCTAACTATATTTGCATGGGAGGGGGGGCCAAATTGGAAAAATATGAAAAGATGCTTCACAGTTCATGATTGCTATCCCAAAAGGTGTCCTGTGGAATTGCATCATTAGAAATAATCAAGAGAATAACTATTACTAATACAGATTAATTATGAAGTAAATGCAGAATTTTAAAAGCTGTTTTACACTTGGTATCTAGTGTATTGTTTTCCGCTTTATGCTTAAAATACATAAATAATACACTTTGTTCCTTTGTAGCTCTAATGCGCCGTGCCACTGTGCACAAGCAGCTGCAGAATTACCAGACAGCTATAGAGGATCTGAACAAAGTATTATGTGTTGAACCAGAAAACATTATAGCTAAGGTAAAGATAAATGAGTTGAATATGACTAGAAAAAAGTTGCATGTAGTTGTAGCATAAAGTGAATACAGTTTATATTGTTTGATTTGAATATGAGTTTTGAGGACACACTCAAGGTACTGTGCCAATGATCAGTTTCCCAAGACCACACAGGTGCCTGTTGTGGAAATTAGGTACTTGAATGTGACCAGTTGTTCTCTTCCCTACTTCTCAAGATCTCAAAAAGATCCATTAGGATAGTTGTATTAAGTTTGACACACAATTTACAAGATAAAAAACAAAAGAGATGCCAAGATTTTATTGTTGTAGTGGTGAAGTTAACCCAAAAGGAGAGGACCTGAGTTCTGTCCTCACTTCAGTGTGATGTTATAAATCCTCATTTCTCACCTTCAGGCTAGAATGAAAAATTTTTCATACCTTCTGAAGTCCAGAGATCTGTACTCTTCTTTGCCAATTTTCGATCTAAGAAAGCCAGATGCTTTCTTTGGAGACTCAAGGTCAGGATGTGGTCCTTGTACTACTATTGCCTCAGCTATCTGGGAGAGGATTGGTTTGTGCCATTTCATTGATGTCTTCTTAGGGGTATTTTGTGCATTAAAACCTAGTCATTGCATTTGGACTCTGTATCCTGAGAATCTTCAGTTCTGATACTAAACTGCTCTTTGCCTGTTGATTGGGAGCCCATCATACTGCTACCCTCCCAGTGTTTTTATGTATGACTTCTAGATGCCATGCAGTTGCCTCATCACCTGATTGCTGTTCAGCTCTTACTGTTGGCACATTTTGAGCTGCTAGCAACTTGCTGCTTGCTTGTTAACTCTGTGGAGTTATTTGGTCACTGCTGTTGCTTGGAACAGTGAGAGAGGTCCAAAGCTGTTGGGTCAAATTCACCACATAGAGCATTTATCCCTTTTAGGATGTTCTTGAAGCTAGATTCCTGTCCAGAATAGTTCATGAGTTTCACATCAACCAAGAGCAGAGAGGCTTGTGGTAAACAGAGCGAAGTCTGGTTGGCAGCCGGTCACAAGTGGTGTCCCCCAGGGCTCAGTCTTGGGGCTGGTCTTGTTTAACATATGTGTCAATGATCTGGATGAGGGGATTGAGTGCTCCCTCAGTAAGTTTGTAGACGACACTAAGTTGGGTGGAAGTGTTGATCTGCTCAAGGGTAGGAGAGCCCTGCAGAGGGACCAGGACAGGCTGGATCGATGGCTGATGTCAATTGTATGAGGTTCAACAAGGCCAAGTGCTGGGTCCTGCATTTAGGTCAGAACCCCAGGCAGCGCTACAGGCTTGGGCATGAGTGGCTGGAAATCTGTCAGGTAGAAAAGGAACTGGGTGTGTTGGTTGGTGGCTGGCTGAATACGAGTCAGCAGTGTGCCCAGGTGGCCAAGAAGGTCAATGGCATCCTGGCCTGCGTCAGGAACAGTGTGGTCAGCAGGAGTAGGGAAGTGATTCCTCGAATCCTGTGTTCAGTTTTGGGCCCCTCACGACAAGAAAGACATTCAGGTGCTGGAGCATGTCCAGAGAAGGGCAACAGAGCTGGGGAAGGGTCTGGAGCACAAGTCCCGTGAGGAGTGGCTGAGGGAACTGGGGTTGTTTAGCCTAAAGAAGAGAAGGCTGAGGGGAGACCTGATCGTTCTCTACAGCTACCTGAAAGGAAGCCGTAGGGAGGCAGGTGCTGGCCTATTCTCCCAGGTAACTGGCGATAGGACAAGAGGAAATGGCCTCAAGTTGCATCAGGGGAAGTTTAGATTAGATATTAGGAAAAACTTCTTCACTGCGAGAGTGGTCAGGCATTGGAAGAGGCTGCCCATGGGAGTGGTGGAGTCACCATCCCTGGAGGTGTTCAAGGAACATGGAGATGTGGTGCTTGAGGACATGGTCTAGTGGGTACAGTAGGCTTGGGTTGATGGTTGGAATAGATGATCTAATAGGTCTTTTCCAACCTTAGTGATTCTGTGATTCTGATTCTGTGATTTAAGGGATCAACCTGCCTGCCTCCCCCCACCCCCTTTTCTTTTTAAACACCTCAGTGTCTAGATTTGCATTCTAAAAGAGCTTTTGTGGGGTTTTTTTTCTGTTTATAAGACTCAAACACTAAATAGCTGTGATTCTGTGTTGACATACTCCACAACAGTCTTTGTGAAAAGATTGTCAAATAGGGCTATGCTGAGACTTTTTATAATATCAGATGTAAGCTACTGACTCATTTTGAGTACACTCTTCTAGAGATCCAAATCCATTAGTAGCTTTGCTGAGCAATGCTTCTGTAGCTGAAAACAGATGTCTGTACTTCATCCTTATCTGTGAGAGCTATTTTGCCTTGGCTGAGACATCCAGAGCTGACAGAGTGCTTGGCAGGGCATTTTTGAGTTGCTCTTTGCTTGGAGGATCCTCAAAACCCTCTTGAGCTAAATCTGAATGTATGGAACACATGCAGAGAGAAGGCTTATGAGCAGCCATTAAAATAAAGGTAAATTGCTTGTCGCTAACTGGAGTTCTTCAAGGTATTTTGTCCTTGAAGCTTGATCCTGTCCTTCCTTGTTTTACCTTTTACTTGAGGAAGTGAGCGCCGAAATAGCACTTCCTTCTACAGCATTGAATTCACTTCAGAATAGTGTGTAATGTTGGGTGTCTTACTCTGCTCTGAAAGTGTAAAGTGGAGTTGGAGTATGTTGTTTGAGTAATCAAAAAATGTTTATGAAATGAGAGGCTGTTTGATCATCTAATTTGCAGCTCTTACAAGAGGATCAAACCTTTTCTTTATTCAGCAGTGTCCTCCTGCTACGCTGCTAAGAAGCTGCGTCTCCTTTGGTTCTGGTTCTGTCAGTTACACTCCTCTGTCAGTTATCAGGCACCAAATTCTCCATAGCATAAATTTTGATAAACTGATTTGAGGCTTTTTCAGAGATTCTGGAAATAGCCTGCTTTCCATGTTTTTTCCATTTTTTATTTTGCTTAAGCAGTTCATTCAAGAAAAGTACTTACTAGTTTGTGAGATATCTGCTGAGTTTCTAAGACACAGAAACTGACTGTTAATCTTGGTTTTGATTATGGCTCTTGGAAAGGTGACCTTTATTTTCTTGTAACATTTGTCCTGATAGTTCTTCAGGATTTTATTTGGGTTATTTAAGAGAATGTATTTTCTGTATATAAATCACAATTTCTATACCTATAGAAAAAGGATTCTGCTATTGCTGTTTTTTCTCTATTGCAGAAAAATCTGCTGGAGATTGAAAAGAAACTGAAAGGTTTAAAGCCTGTACCTGAGACTCGAGGGAAAGGAAGAAGAATACTTATTCAAGATGTAGAGGATTCAGAAGGCGATGAAGAAAGAGGGGAAAATATGGAAGAATGTGAAAGAAGCTGTGGAGGTAAAAGTCATGTCATATAATTTCCTATTTAATTTTAACCTGAGGAAAAAAATAACTACCTTTGATATTGCAGCATTTATTCACACAATTCATCCGTATTTGCTTGCAAAGAATTTTGCCTGTATGAAGACTAAAATTATATTCACTACTTAAAATAGATCTGAGTGAAGTCTAGAATGCAGTTTTATTACACATCTTTGGAATGATTTCCTGAAAGGGTATAACAGAGACAGAAGGAAAATGTGGCTATAAATCACCTACTTCCCTGTTATCTGTGCAATTTCACACCTATCCTTTGATCCTATTCAATTCCAGTTGGGAGTTTCTTCTGGTGTTAGAGAACATTTTGTGTTCCTTAGTTCTTTCTCTCGCGCAGCTCTCCTGCTTTCCCTCCATGACATTTTTCTTCTGCATTTTTCCTCCCTTGATTGGATCACAGAGTGTAAAAATGATCAAGTGGCAGGTAGTGTGATTTTTTTGTTGTTCTGAAAACTACCAATCTTGTTTTTTGGTTTTTAATGTAAAAGATCATCTGTGTGCTCTGAAAGTAAACATTGGACAGAAACAACATGTAATTCTTGTACTGTACGTATTTTACAAGCAGTTGAAGTGCAGCTCAAGTTCATGGGTTAGGGTGACTAACTGCAAGACTGCTGAGATGAAGCTACTGGCATGATCAGAATACATGACTTGTAGGGGAAAGTGAGGCAGCAGGGACTGTAACTGGCAGGTTGCTTTGACATTCAGCTGCATGCCTGGACTCCAACCTGCAATGGAATCACATCTCTGGATTGATTTCCACCCTTTTCTCCTTTCTGTTGGTTTCTTTAAGGTAATGTGGCATGACATCTGTGGCTTTTTTGTTTTCCGTGGCCTATGTAGTTCTTTATCTTGAAATTAAATCAGTTTGTGGTTTTCCCAACTTATATGTAGAGCCTAACATTCACAATTGTGATATCATAATGCATTATTTGCGCACAAATTTAAGGAAAATACATTTTTCAAAATCAGGAGATACTCACCAAGTCTCCTCAGCTAAAACCCTGGAAGAAAGGATGGACTGTGTCAGTAGCCTTAAATACTAGCTAATTAGGGGTTGCTTTCCACTGGCAGCATTCAGATGACTAAGTGCCTTCTAGCTCCAGAGGAAGACTCCCATTCTGCTGATGAAAGGCGAGGCTTTTAAACATAGGGAAGGTTGTCAACATGTGTTCATGTGAGATACGTAAGTATTCCTGAGATCTAGGACGTATCTTCATAGATTGTGGTTTTGAAGTACAACTGGAAACAAATACAAAGTCAGTTCAGTTATTGAATAAATCTGACATATTCTGTGAACCTATAATTGCAATAGGTAGACTGAGCATCTTCTACATATTCTCTATACATCCAGTCTGTAGTCACAGTCAGTCCAGTAGTCCATATTGTCACATTTTTTTCACATTCTAATTGGTAAGCCTCATGCATTCCTACTAAACTTGTAATTTAGAAACTGGAAGAAAACCAACAGATTATTTTTGTTTTGTTTAGCTCTGAAGAGTAGATTTCTCAGCTTTGAACAAAACAGTCAAAATAAGATTGTAGTCTCTAAATCAATGTATCTGAAAGCAAAAATAAATAAAATCCAATTTGCACAATAGGAACAGAAGACTGCTTACATCCTGGAGACTGTAAAAACTAGTATTCGGGCACTATAAAACCAAAATCTTGTATATACTTGACAAAGGGCCTGGTGTTTTGACATGTTCGTAGAATTCATGATGTCAACTGATAAATATGATTTTGTTGTGGTTTAACCCAGCCAGCAGCCACTCAGCTGCTCACTCACCTTCCCCCCTCCGCCAGTGAGAAGGGGAGGAGAGTTGGGAGAAAAGACAAGGAAACTTTTGGGTTCAGATAAGAACAATTTAAGAACTGCAAATAAGTGAAATGAAACAATGATACTAATAATACTAACAATATTACATTACTACTAATAATATGTAATGAAAATAATGGGGAAGAAAACAAATGAAATCTAGTCTGTATTTGTTGACTTTCTGGTCAAAATTCTATCCGTACTTTTCAGTACTTTTGTTTTAACCTTTCTTTGGAATTTATAATTTTAATTTTTTTTTTAAGTTTGTAAGCACTGATTTATTTTCAAGCAAAAGCCCAGAATACTGCTTTCATTAATAACATTTCTCTGTAGAGACCAATACAGGAATATTGTTTATGTTATAAACCCAGAAACTGATTTGAGAAATACATCTGTACGATTTTGTGCAAGGTGTTTACTCAGTCCAGAAATATTTAGGTAATTAACATAACCTGACAGCTAAACAAGTTAATTATGAATATTCTCATTTTCAGGGCGACTCCAAATGCTATAAATGTTTCCTGTTTCATCCAGGATTAATTCTGTACACTTAAAGAAATTTTCGATGTTCAGGAAGTGATGTTTGCATTAATGACATTCAAATTGGCATCACACATTATCTGCCTTTCTTGCCTATTTTTTTGGTCTCTAGCAGTTGGGATGCTCTTCAGGAGTGTTTTGGTGTAGAATTTTTTCTTACAAACTTGTCCTATTACCTGTTTGTCTGTGACATTTCAAATTTTTGGTAGAAGGTGTGTAGAGTATTCTCTTTTTGGTGGATGTAAAATAAAAGTGTTCTAGCCCGTATCCTAAGGAAATCCTTATCAGCCTTCCGATACCTGAAGGGGGCCTACAAGGAAGCTGGGGCAGGGGCTTTCTACAAGGGCCTGTAGTGACAGGACAAGGGGTAACGGGTTTAAATTGGAAGTGGAGAGGTTTAGATTAGATATCAGGAAGAAGTTCTTCATGCGAAGGGTGATGAAGCACTGGAACAGGTTGCCCAGAGAAGCTGTGGATGCCCCATCCCTGGAAGTGTTCAAGGCCAGGCTGGATGAGGCTTTGAGCAACCTGGTCTAGTGGAGGGTGTCCCTGCCCATGGCAGGGGGGTTGGAACTAGATGGTCTTTAAGGTCCCTTCCAACCCAAACCATTCTATGAAATTAATACTATAGTAGTACAGTCTTCATTCATCTGCTCAGCTAGTCTGTTACCCTCATCCTCCCTACCAAATTGACTTTAAACATTTTTGGCATATATGACACTGCAAAATTGGATGGATGGATGGAAGCCTTAAATATGAATAATTTACTTTGAATTTTATAAAAACGTCAGTATGGGTAGAATAGATTTATCCTATCATTGTTCCCACTGTGGAGTATGAGCTTACTATTAAACACGGTGTTTCAAAACAGAGACCACAGTTGGGAAGGATGCAGTTGGAGCTTTTGTCTATTAGACCCTAGAGAATCTGCTGATCTTAAAAATCTTACGGTTTCCCATACTGAAATCCAATTGAACAGGAACATTTTGTGCATTAAAAAAACAATTTCTGTAATTTGGAACAATCTGGAGTTCATTCATATTCTGTTAACTTCAGAAATTTAGTTTGAGTCAATTTGGAAGTCTCTCTCCAATATATGAAGGCGTGAAAAAATTCAGTTGGACGGATGAGCACAACTAAGTTAGGTGGAGATTAAAATTCAGCATCTTAATAGTAGCAACACGCAGAGCTGCCTTAGCTTGCCTGGTAGTATCCAGAAGCAGGCTTTCTGCTGAAATCTGTTTTTGAATACCTTGGTGGTAGTCTGTTAGGAATTCAGGTGAATAAGGAATTTATATGTTAATATCCAATACCCTTATTTTATGTTTTTTCCTAATTAAATTAGTAATAAATAATGCAAATTGAATGATCAGAACTCTGTAAAAGGCTTTTTGACATTATGTTTAAATGAAACCTTTTTGAGAATAATTTATGAGACTTTTATCCCTCCTATGTTGTATTTGAAGAGTGTTTTGGAGTGTGCAATGTTCGTTAGCTCTGTGTCCTAACTTTAAGATGCAAGCGTTTTGATTTGGTCAGGGAAAATCAAAGTATCAGTATTGTAATAGCCAGTATTTAAGGAGTTAATTTCATGGTGAACTCAGTACCATTCTGACACTACAGAACAGGGGTTTACAACGTGCCCAGCAAGGACAAATGAGATTTCATAGTAATACCTTCTCAGTAATTATTGCAAGTTACTTGTAAGTAGGATTTTTTCTGTGTTCTTGGAAGTGTTTTCTAAGGCAAATAAATCTTGGTAACCTCAGGATGGGAGGAGGATTTGGGACAGTGTTCTTGGGCTGTCCACCCCTCTTTAGCCAGGACGATAGTTTCTTCTGATGATGCAAGCTCCAACAGCTTATTAACTTCCTTGTAGAAACTGGCGTGCCAGTAGGAGGAGAGGCGGCTGCCGGCGAGGCTGAGATGGGGAACGCGCAGAGAAAGTTTCATAGCAAAGGCGGTGGCGGTAAGGCGGAGGACCGAGAGACACAGAAGCAGAAGGAATCCTCTGGGAGCGGGTTTAAAAAAGGCACATCAGAGAAAAAAACAGCAAAGCGTCTGTCAGACCATGAAGGTGAAGCTAATGGCTATTTACACAGTGATCAAAAGAGTGAAAGCCCTGAAACTGAGAAGATCTCCAGGTCGCACGGAGCAGGGTCTCAGTCGGCTGGTGATGGCAGTTCTACTTCACTTCCTCCTGCTGCAGCAAAACTAAAAAGTGAAGGAAACGAGTTATTTAAGAGTGGACAGTTTGGAGCAGCTGTGCTCAAATACTCTGAAGCAATTGAGTATGTCGTCGGTCTAGGTGAGTGTGATACCTTGTACTTAAATCTAGCATTATTGTTTAGATGATTTAAAGGAACTACAAGTGAACTAATCTACCCTGTGCCTGGATTTTTGGCAGGAGTTACTGTGCAGTCAATTCTTTGTCATTGTCAGAGGAAGGTAATTCACATGATACAAAATATAAGAAGCGTGAAATAACCTTAAACTTCCTTGGGGCAGAGCTGTTTGCTTTTATTTATGTGTTTGAGTAATTACGTATTCCAGGTGACATGATAAAGGAAAGCTGCTTAGAGCTTTGCGTTGTCAGCAAACTGCATCACTGCAGTGCAACTTACAGCATGCAGGTCTTTAATTCTTGAATGTCATTTTAATAATGTTCTTTGATTTGAATTGTAACTTCTTCTAGGAGAACAAAGTCCAGATGATTTAAGTATCTTGTACTCGAACAGAGCAGCGTGTTACCTTAAGGAAGGCAACTGCAGTGACTGTGTTCAGGATTGTAACAGGTAAATTGCAACCTCCCAGGAAGTGCAGCGACATTCCTGATGATGATTAAACATTTTAACTGATGCAGTGTTATTGCAGTTTGACTTAGAACAGTCTTCAGTAAAGCCTGATTCCCTATCTAAATGACAGATATCTTTGTCAGTTATGTAAACAATCACATGGAACCTAGAGAAGGAGTAGCTTTTAACTTACTGTCCTGCTGTGCGAGGGCAGTTGTTAGGCTTCTTGTGTACGCAGAAATGCATCACAGCGTTAAAATTTTTAATATAAAAGCAGGCTTACTTCAGTGATGCTCTGTAGTGACTTACACATAAAAGTTCTCTTAAGCTACATGCTTATCACAGTGTTGTAAATCACTTTCAAGCATGTGTATATTGTATGTATGTGTTCTTCGTGTTTGGTTTGTTGTTTTGGTTTGGATTTTTTTAAATATATACTTGGCATAGTCATAAAGAGTAATTACAGCTGTTCAGAACTGAGCTAAAATCCTCTCTGCTTATTGTGGCTTTTAAGGATACAGGAGTTAGAGAGGGTCAGACACCTTCAGTAACTTCCAAACACAACCTTCTAAAATATTACTGCATTTCTAGATGTCTTTTTTTGTATCCTCATAGATAGGGTTATTAAGACTGAGGCTTAAGGTGCAAAAAAGGATCCCAAGACAATTAGAAATGATGTTAATTAATCAGTTGGGTATTTTACAGCACAACCCAACTGTTAAAAAACAAACAAACAAACAAAAACCCACAAAAACCCCACCCACCCTAAAAATAAAATATGCATATAACTTTGTGTTAACTAAATATTTGACTTACTGCATACATTCTACCTGACAGAAAAGTTTTCTGAAAGTGTCATCTGAAAAAACTGACTTGTTAATGTTTTTTGTGAAGACAGATGCAGGACCATAGACAGCTGGTTGATAAAACAAGATGGCATGCTTAACAGCCACCACATTTTTCTATTCAGGAAGTTTGAAGTATGTAAGACTTCAACTGAAATCAGTAACGCAAAGCTTTTGGGTTTTGTATTGTTACCAATTGGAAGCTTATTTTCTTACTACTTGGTGATGGTGCCCTTAATGTTGTGCATATTTGCTGGATACACAAGGGCCCATGATGCTTAGTCAACACAACAGATGTAGAAATAGAGACTGGGAAGCAGAACTGCAAGCACACATGAATTAGGCAATGACAGATCTTCTCTGGGCAGCACAACATAAAGAATGATCTACAAATAGTTTACTTGCTTCCAAAGTAAAAATGGTGTAGTGCTTATATTTGTGATACAAAAATAGGTATTGTACAAACCCAGGCTGGATGAGGCTTTGAGCAACCTCGTCTAGTGGAAGGTGTCCCTGCCCATGGCAGGGGGGTTGGAACTAGATGGTCTTTAAGGTCCCTTCCAACCCAAACCATCCTGTGATTCTGTGATTTATCTTTTACTACGTTTGAGCTATTTAGTGCTTAGAGGTATATAAAAAAGACTCAGTTGGATCTTTCTTTGTCTCAAGACTGATTTTTGAGTGCCTTTGGTACTTGTTATGACAAGTGAAATAGGGCTCATATACACTAATGTTATTTTATTTGGTACTGTGGTGTGGTTTGGTCCCTGGCTGTATTGTCTTTGCATTCTACCCTGGAAAGGTTGAATGGGGTTTTCCATTCCCACTGATGATAGTCTTCAAGCAGTGTCATCTTCCTCTGAATTTATTTATGGCTGGTTGTTTCTTCATTCTTGACGTTAGGAACCTGAAACTGTGTTAACAGTCTTATAAGTTACAGAATGTCAAGCGTTTTTGAAGAGGTTTTGTGGGGGCAGTGACGTTGTGCACTGTTGTATTTTTCAAATGCATTCAGCGACATGGAGAGAAATGGAATGTTGGAAATATTTATGAAAGGGAAATTGGAAATGTTTATTCTAGAAATCATTGTTTCTCTAGCTTTAGGAGGAGTAATGGTGCAAAGCCAAGTTACAGCAAAGGCCAACAGCCTTCTGGACTCATAAACAGGAGCCACAGCCAGTCAGTTGAGGGAAGTGATTATCCCCTTGCACTCAGCCCTTGTTAGACAGTGTCTATGATAACTCTGTTGGTAGGGTTTGGAAGGAGTTCTGATTGCACAGCATTGGGGGTTGAGCTTAGTGTTGACCAGGCACACAATCAGAAGAGTAAACAGATGAAATACAGGCAAAAACCTAAAAGCCAAAAATAGACAGGTGTATATTCATGTCTTAATATATTTTTTACGTGCATACTTCCACATAAGAAGAAGAACTGAAAATCATGTAGGCAAAACCACTGTATACTTGAAATCCTCATAGATCTAGGCATGACTTAAGAAAAAATGCTTTTGCTTTTAAACAGTTGCCATTGTATGAATCTTTTCTTGGTGATGAAAGTAGTTTTCAAGATAGAAGACAGGAGTTTGAGTAGGGTAAGTTGTAGTAAAAGCACTGACAATGTCATAACTGCATGTCATGTAGGGTATTAATATAAACCGTCCCATCCCATTTTCCTTGGTTATGTTACTGTAAGGCCCATCTGAAATCACAAAGGTGTTACATACAATTGTATATATAATAAAATAGCTTTATTAATATTATTTATGTTACTGTTTCAATCCTGCATTTTTCTTTTGTTTTCTCCAGAGCCCTGGAGCTTCAGCCGTTTTCTCTTAAGCCACTTCTACGACGAGCAATGGCAAATGAGTCTATGGAGCGGTATCAGCAGGCGTACGTTGATTATAAAACAGTCCTACAAATAGACAGCAGCATCCAAGCAGCAAATGACAGCACTAATAGGTAACTGCATTTACAAATTTTCTACTCATATCAGTTGAAATAGGAAAGCAGAATTTGAATTTGGTTGGTGTACATGCTCCCTCTGTTCTGTATCCCTCAGAGGCAGGGTTGTCACAGCGGGTGCGTGGTACCTAGAGGGCTGACCGTTTTGTTTAGCTCTTTTCCCGTAGCTTCGCAGTTTTCCTCTGCCAGTAGTTGGTCACTTTCTGTTCTAAAAATGTAATAGTGTAAAGGCTTTTTTTACTAGTTCTCAACTTATTTTTTTTTCCTGACTTGGATTTGATACCATGTAAAGTAATATTTTAAGGTCCATATCTTTTCTCGGACGTTTCTGTTTCCTTTTCATATTAGCACTCTTCCTGTGGCGGTTGGAGATTGGTGTTAAGTGTGAGACTTTTAGTATGTTGCAGTTGTGTAAACAGTGAAGTAGCTTGGTTGGCTATAGAGCTTAGGGGTGTGAAAAATATAATTGAATATTATTTTTAAGTGTTAATAATTCCAGCATTAATTCTTGCTGCCAAGAGAGAAATTTCTATATTCTCTATGTCTCAATTTCTCAAGAAATTTTCTGTCTCAATTTCTATAATTATATGTTAATAGTGTAAAGTTAGGGTATACACACTATTGTAACTGCGTTCTCATTAACATATAGTAAGTACTTAAGTGTGTGAATGATAGGATTTTCCATTCCCTTTCCTCTTCTTTTAACGGGCAGAAGAGAATCTGTGAAAGCACAACAGCCATTAATCATTGAGCAGGAACCCACATGCATGCAACTTCTAACAATGGAATTTAGTACCTTTTTTGTTTCTTTAAGTCAAGGCCATGAGCACTTACATTATTTCATTAAAAAGGCCATAATGTCTTTAAATTCTGCTCCCTTGACCAGAGATGACCAAGGGAGATCATGACACTTTATCATCTCCCCTTAGAAGTCTTATTTTCAATATCACAACAAATTTTAACTGGTCTCCTGTATCTACACTGATAATAGAGCACTTGGATTGGTGAGATAAATGCTCGTCCTGGTATCTGTGTGGTTATTATACTTCTTTTTAATCTTCTTGGCTATTTTGTCTGCAGGTACTATTTTCATATTTCTCCTTGACTTGTAACTTGCTTAGTAGTGAGCTTATTTCCTTTTTTCCCCTTAACACTCTTCCTTTTCTCCTCTCTAGGCCTTCCTTATGTTTTTAGCTTCAATGCTCATTACTCTTTCCTCCCTGGCAACCCATCACCTTGTTTCAGCTGCTTCTTCCTTCTTCTCTTCTGCTGGTAATTCAGTTTTGCTTGCAAATTCGTGGTTTCTAAAGCATAGACCTCCTGCATAATTGAACTTTTACTATAATTTGTTTTTTAATGTTTTATTCTTTATTAAACTTAAGACGTTTATCAAATTATTGATTTTCATTTGCAAAGTAACAGAACATTTTAAAAATTAATTTTAACAAAAAATTATTGTTACTCTCCTGTCTTTTAACTTAAAGGGACAACCCCAAAATTTAATGTAAAATATTTGGTAATAGGAAGATCAGGTCTTAACAGTCTGCTTTCATTGGAGGATTTCTTTGGTTTTAAGTTCCTGCAGGAAGTTGGATGGTGGTGCTGTAGGAAGCTGCCAGGAAATACTCATCATCCTACTTGTGTCTCTGGGTGGGTTTGGTAAATCGTGTTAAGGCTTGTCTTTCTGTACCTATCTAAATAAGCAGGGTTTCCAAAAATCTTAGAAGCAAATGGATGTTCCGTCTGATATTTCTAATAATTCTCTCATAGAAGGCCAGTTTTAATATAAAGCCTTTGACTGATAATATAAAGCCTTTACCTGATTGTTTTGGAATCAAAAAGAAATATTTATGAATGTAAGAATGTATTTTTAGCAAAAATCAACTGAAAACAAGTATACACAGTTAGAGTGTTTATCATGTTGATTAGATGATGTTGAATTGTCTTTTATTGGTTAACCTGAGGTGAATTTAAATAAATTGGAAGGACTTTGTGGTGTGTACCCAGTCACAGGAAAATGCATTTCAAGCAGGCTTTTAATTAGTGTAATTTCCCCAGCTTTGTGAACATCCATGAATTCCTACTTCGTATATTTCAATTGTTTTATTATTTGCTTTTAACTGTTAGAAATACAGAAGCTCTGTTGTGGGGCAACATGTTTATGCATTTCTGTTTACTAAACTGACTTTTCATTCCACTTTTCTCAACTCTAATATCATTTAGCAAATTGCATTAGATGGCTTGGGAGCTTTTATTACAGATTCTCATCTGAGTATTGTACTATACAAATAAATCTGTGATAAACTCCAAAACTACAAGATTGCTGGGTCAGGTTAGGGTGGGGAATGAGTGTATTTGTCATGTTTTCATGAGATACTTGTGCTTTTTAAGGTAACCATGGCGCTCCGGTATGCATTTTTGCAAAAGACTATTGTTTATTATATTACAAGGAGTCAATCGATCATCAAAAACTGCAGGATTCTTTCTGTTGATTTTGATGGATTACATCTTTTTTTTTGTCCTACTTTTTAAAGCCTGTTATGATAAATAGAGAAAAATTAAACAGGAAGTCAATGGGACTGTGGTTTACTGTAGAATTACTCTGTTACTCTCTGTGGGAATTACCTAAACTTAGTAACTTGACTTTTTCTTAACAACTGAATTTAGAGCATAATTAAAAAAATCTAAAGTTTTAGTAAAATCAGAGCAAACCAGGACTTGGACAAGCTGCTAGTTTCGTAAGTACTATAAAATAGTGCTTAATAATGATACAGGTAGAGGAAAATCCCTGGAAGGGCATATGTAGCTAACACACAGAAAATATTCTTCTAGTTCACTTAGAAAACAAAGCAACAAGATAATATGAAATGTGGTATTCTGTGTATGAAGAAACTTATTTTCAGTTCAAAAATACAAGAAATGGTATGCGGCATTATGCAATCACACATTATATAGCTCTACAAACAGCCTTTTTAGTCTATATTGTTCTTTAAAATATTTTGGTAATTTCTGCTCTACAGTAAGGAAGATTAGAACAGGTGCTGCTTCTTGTATTAGTTTTTCTATCAGACCCTAATGGGAGAAGAATTTAGTCTTGAGTGCTCTGATTCTCTTGCCATAGTATTATACTGAGGCTTTTTTTGTTGTATTGCTGTTACTCAAATATTATAAAGGACTAAAACTAACAAAACTAGAACTTGTTTTTGGTGTGTATTCATGTAGTATGTTTTTTACACCTGTGTTAGATGGAAATGCACTGAAGATACCAATTTCAGGTTTACTGACTGTAGTATCAATGTGACTTGCTTTACTACTCAATTCAGAGTTTTCCTTTGTTAAAGTAGGTATTAGACTTATCACCAGTTGACTCAAGCTCATTTTGAGAATAGAGGATGTTTATGTCACCATTATTTTCATTCTCATCATAGATTAACATGTTTGGTTTTTTTTTTAAAAAAGCTACAAAACTGTAATAGAGCCCTGAAGTCTTGTATGGCGTTAATCATTAAGAAACTCAACACAAAGAGCTTATATAGGTACATCGGTAATTAAAGGAAGCCTAGGGGAAATGTGGGCCCTCTCTGGAAGGAAACGGGAGAGCTGGTTTCCCAGGATATGGAGAAGGCTGAGGTACTCAGTGATGTTTTTGCCTTGGTCTTCACTGGCAAGCGCTCAAGCCACACTGCCCAGGTCACAGAAGGAAAAGGCAGGGACTGGGAGAATGGAGAACTGCCCACTGTAGGAGACCAGGTTTGAGGCCACCTAAGGAATCTGAAGGTGCACAAGTCCACGGGACCTGATGAAATACATCCACGGGTTGTGAGGGAACTTGTGGATGAAGTTGCTAAGCCATTATCCGTCATATTTGGGAAGTCATGGCAGTCTGGTGAAGTTCCCACTGACTGGAAAAGGGGAAACATAACTCCCATCTTTGAAAAGGGAAAAAAGGATGACGCACCGAACTACAGGCCAGTCAGTCTCACCTCTGTGCCTGGTAAGATCGTGGAGCAGATGCTCCTAGAAATGATGCTAAAGCATATGGAAAATACGGAGGTGATTGGTAACAGCCAGCATGGCTTCACTAAAGCAGATTTATGTCTGACGAATTTGGTGGCCTTCTATAATGTGGTTACAGTGTTGGTGGATCAGGGAAGAGCAACTGACATCATCTGCCTGGACTTGTGAAAAGCAATTGACACTTTCCTGCATGACATCCTTGTCTCTAAATTTTAGATACATGGATTTTATGGGTGGACCACTTAATGGATAAGGAATTGGCTGAATGGTTGCACTCAGAGTTGCAGTCAAAATCTCGATGTCCAAGCGGCGACCAGTGACAAGTGTTCCTCGGGGGTTGGTATTGGGACTGGTGCTGTTCAACATCTTTGTTGGCCAAAACAGTGGGATTGAGTGTGGTCTCAGCCAGTTTGCTGATGACACCAAGCTGTGTGGTGCAGTCGATGCGCAGGAGGGAAGGGATGCCATCGAGAGG